AAAAAAACTCCAGGTGGGTTTGTTGAAGGTTCTTCCCAGGACAGAGATATTTTCCGAACCAGTAGTAAATTAAACATAAGACTGATTTTCAATAATTATTATTATATATATATATATATATATATATATATATATATATATATAAAATTAATTTGAAATCGTCACAGATATTAACGCATTGGCTGTCCCGTATCCCGCTATTATCTTACTGTGTCCGAAAATCGCACAGTGAAAGTGTTCAGTTTGTTGTAGATCTCCCTCTGCTACTTTATAGGTAACGAATTTCCATGTAAGAGCTAACCGAGTATCTAGTTGTATATTGTTAATCGAATAATAAATAAGTTGTTGCCCTAAACATCGATATGCACCACTTTCGAAAAAGCTAACATTTGTACCGAAAAAGCCAACTAATTATATTAATCATTAGATATGTTCCCGATGGAGTATAGATTATAAATATAATAATTACCATCTACTTTTAATGTTAATTATATATTCAATATGTACAGAATTACCATTGTTAATTTATATTTAGATACTTTTTTAATTTATAAGCATAATTAAGAGATTGTAACAATTTCATACTTTTTAATTCTTTATTACGCGTGCACAACATGAGCCTTGTTTGGATTGTACAGCCAGCGACGTTCGTTAGTCTCATTAGAAAACCTCACGACATAATATATACATTGTAAACTTTTTTGTATACTGTACAAGCACGACGCTGGAATCGTCATCGGGCTCAGGTCTTATATTAATATGCAAGAGTACTTATATGGTTGAAGAAACTAACAACATAAAGCTAAAAATTAAACCGAAGAGTTAAATGGATCATTTTGTACACACCTCATTGTCCAAACTATGTTACGTTCAGACTAATAAAGAAAGGTACTCGAAACTCTGCGGAAATTTCAAGTGACGCCGAAACCAAGCCAAAACCATACTCAACTTATTGTAAGAACACTCACTCACGTACACATGCGTTTAAAACCATTTGCAACTAACAACATGATTTTAGGGGCATATGTGTGGGTTCACAAGTACACTTTCGCAAGAAAGAAAGAAAGTTGTGTGCGTATGAGTGCGTGATAAATTTGAGCATGGTTTCTGCGTCACTTGAAATGTACGCAGTGCTCAGTCAATCTTTCCTTGCTGGTCTGAAAAGTCAACCTACACCCTTGGGGCAGTTATTGCAACATTATTAGCAATTGAAATGGGTGAGGCGGTATACACTACAGTAATTTCAAAAATACAAGATTAAAAAAAAAACATTTATTTAAAATAAGCTTTTCACTTTGTTGTAGTCTAGTGATTAATAATTTAATATAATTAATTTAATATATATATATATATAAATTTATTATTAATTTAATTATTTATTACGTTTCGCTTATTGTTTGTGATTATAAATAATATGGCAGTAACAGCAAACAACCAGTCTGTCGTATAAAGAGTAAACGACAACTAATAAAAACCCTATGGTTCCCGTAAAGTGCGTTACCAGAATCAGTATTCAAACGAAAAGCAAGAAGTGAAACTTCTTTACTGCATATAATTCTTCATTTATTTTATATTTTACATAAGTAAAAAAAAGTAAAATAAAAGTTAAATAATAGTATACTCATGCAGCCCCGGTGGTGAAACGTTACAACAAAACGTGATTTGTTTGATAATACCGTACTAAAATTCTTCACTTCGTCACTTCAATAACTTTAGCATTAGGGAGTAAGAGTATCATCAAAGACCCCGCTTTAGCGATGCGCGTGTCAGCAATTAAAAGTTATAAAACCACATAAAATTTGTAAAATAAAATTTATTAAAATTAAAATGCTCGAGTTTTCTAATTGTATACGTTTCAATACTGATTCTGATAGCGCACTTAACGCGAACCAGTTTTTTTTTGTTACATGTTGTATAATACAATTAATAAAAAAAATATAAACATTAAATGCATTAGTTCAATTTGCCAGCAAAATAAAAATAATCTCATTGTAAACAAAATAAAAATTGCGCAACTGAAGCACGCGACAGTCGTGACTCGAAACTCACTTTCGAACCATGAACAACATTTCTTACTCTTAATTTTAGCGCCAAATTATCTATAGTAAAAATATATCCTCCATTGATTCAAAAACCGAGAATTATACAGAGTTCATATATTTTTTTTTTCAAATATTTTAATAATACTTTTATACATAAAAATATTAAAGTGTAAATGTGATTAATAATAAAATGATATAACATAACACGTAATTAATATTTATCGATTTTTGTATCACTCAATCGAGTGATACTAGTTTAAAAAAAAAAAGCGATGATGACATGAGAGTCGGGCGATTCTGATGATTTAATAGATTTATATTTAAGAAATTCAGCCTTTATAAAAAATGACCTACGAATTCTATAATTTTACACTTTATTTAAATGAGAATAAATTCAATAATAATATTACCAATGCTGGGTGTATTTAACAACGATTCGTTTTCTTTTACGAGCCGTTTTGTAGTAAATGAAATACATGATAACCCAATTTTCTAACCAAAATACCAGTAAAAATTATATATTACGTACCGTTTTTAATTTTAAGACATCCCAAGTTGCTGAATAAACAGTTTGTAATATAACCTGTTTTACATGTACCTCGTATATAATAAACAAACGGCACGTTACGGAGAATTTCTTGAATATACGAAGCGGGTATAAAACAGAAAAAGAGATTTCTAAGAGTCCACCCGAAAGGGATCCTGCTATACTTAAGTTTTAATTTTAAACAAAATATAAAAAAAATTTAGGCCATATTATACAGGCAATTGCTGTATTTTCTATAGGTACATTTTCAAATATCGCAATGAATAGGTAACCTAGTTTTTGAGCACCAATGAACAACAGATTCGGTAAATATTGATTGAAAAATGAGTACAAAAATCGGAGGCGGAAATACAAACACAAATTAATATTCACTTAAATGTTTTGCTGTTTTCTTAGTGTCCCTAAAAAAACATCAAATATTTAAGTCATAGAATTATTACGCATAGAATACTAGTACGCGCACCGAAAGTGAGGCAAGTAAAACTAACTCGAAACCGCGTTAGTTGACTCAGCGACGCGTCAGTGCGCAACGTCACGCCTTACGGAATAGAGCTCGCGAAAAATTGTAAAAATTACCGTTTGTGTTGTAAAATATTGTCACAACGGTGATGATAAACATAAAAGAAGTGATGGTATTACATTTCACATATAAGTTTATACATTTAATTCATTATAAGTACGTAAAACTAAAAAAATACTTACCTAAGCTCTCATAATACAAATGTTGCTAGTTGTGGGGAAAAAATCACAATTTTCTTTTAAAAATATTTATTTTCTATTTGTGTTTAAAACGTTTAATCGCAACGCTCTGTGTAAAACTCAAACGTTTTTATATAGATACCTACTTCTATAAGTGTTAACATTATATTAACAATGGGTACCTATTTAAAACTAATATGGAGTGATCAGCTAATCGCGATTCGTCGACGATTTTATTTTAATTGCTTTTTTATTGACTAAGGTTACGTTTTAGAGTATAGAATAAAACTTTTTTATTTAAAACATCATGAGATTATTAATAAGAACGCCTTTACTAACCAGATGTCACTTTACACCCAAACATTAACCAGATGTTACGTTAGACCCAAACATAGCCTATTTTAACCTACTCCCAAAAAGAAAGGTTATCAATATGTATGTACACTGATTTCTAAGCTTGATCAATTCGTATATACATGCTGAAATTTTAGTGGTTATTGTCCCGCAGCCAAATTATACTGTCTCGATAGTAGAGTCAATTTATTAAATTAAAAAAATATTATAATTAAAAAAGGCAGATTTACAATAGTAATACCTCACAAGCTATTCAGGCGTCCAAACTAGTTTATGTCGTATCACTACGATTGAGAGTTCATGTTATGAACATTTATTAGTGGCCCTTCACTGTGTAGGAAGCGCGCGGTAGCACGTGCGATAGACGTAACACTACATTACGTCCAGCGAATTTTTTTTCAGACTTTATTATAGTAATTCGGTATAAGCGGTATATGGTTTAAAATCGCATTCGAGTTTTGTTTTTCTCGATTGTGAATCTGCCATTTTTACATCCTAATAATTTTTATTTTAATAAATCTATTGTACTACTAAGGCATAATCATTTTACTTCGGGAAAACAACCATTAAAATTTCAGCGTGTATATTAGATTAATCTGTGTGTATATCCTTTCAAATAAAAAAATCTAAATCGGTTTAGAAATTGTAGACTTCTGAGGTAAAAACATTAAAAAATACACCGAATGGATAACCTCCTACCTTTTTGAAGTCGGTTAAAATTAAACATTACACGATGTGCTTATTGTATTCGAGCAAATTGTGTTTATTAATATTCTTAAATTTTATTACGTCTGCATTTTGGTACCATTAATATATGTATAATAGTTATATTAGTACCATCATTATCGTGTTTATTTTATTCCATTTTATATTCTCATAAAATACATCTTCGTACGTAATACGTAATCTTTATTATATCGATTATTTCAAATGAATCAAAAAATAGTGATTTGCACAATTTGATTGCAAACGCCAGAAACTGGTATCACTGAATGGCGTGTATGTGTGCGTGTGACGAGCGTAGGCACATTTGACTCACGCCCACTAACATTATGACCTTGCATCATTTTAACGCTCGTGTTTTGTACTGGACTACGCTTCTATGCGTAATAATTCTATGATTTAAGTCGACTCGAATACCAACACAATATTTACCAAAAAAAATATATTTAGGTTTTAAGACTACTTCTCCTCCAAAGATAATTTCTGTACAAGAATTTCGAATTCAATCGATTAAATAATAAAATTGGATATGTTGTGCATCGATAATCGCCGTCAAATCGATGCCAATCGAGACACAGAATCGATATGAACGTACCGAGGTGATGTAGGTGAAGATGGCAGTTGTGACAGCGCAACTAGCTGGGCGGATGAGGATCTGTGCTGACAATGACCTGGACCACGTAACCTGGCGTAATCTTGGCCTCCTCCACCAGCAATCGATCAGCTAGCAGCTTCCCGCCGTAAAACCAGCGCTGACGCCAAGGTTCGATTCCCTCTTGTGCCTGGAAAAACGAATACTTTTGGATAACACTAACGGCAGTTATATAGTTGTAGCACGAATGGCTTTTCAAGTATATATAAATTTGATTAAAGAATACATGATTGATATAAACACCGGTAATAGGATGATAGCTGTTACTGTTTCGAAATTATTTCAGAATAAGGTCAATTTTATTAGAATAAGAGTGACGAACGAAAGTCTACATCTATCTTCGATTAAGAATCAAAATTCATGCAGTAAACAGTAAAAAGATCAGATACGAAACACAGCAGCATTGAACTGCTATTTTTGGCTAATATTCTGTGAGAGTATGGTCCTTCCCTGATCGACCCGATCCCTTCTTACTATAACCATGTCTCAACCACGTAAAATTTATTGTAGTGAAACTTCTTTAGGCACGTTGGGCACTTTTGGAATGGGGAAAAATCACTGAACTCGCGTGACCGTTACGCTCATATACATATATACAGATGTGTGTGTAACTGTAAGCTAAAAAGTTTTCTCATCTGACGTGCATTTCTACGACTGACAGTTTTTTTTTTTTAATTATTTATTTAATAGTACAACATAAATAAATTGTTTTAATTATTACTTTTAAAGTTCTGCTGAATTTCTTCCTGGTTCTTCCCAGGACGTTCATTTCGAATCAGTGGTAAAAGCATCAATGACTTTAAGGCCCGCTCTATACATACGGAATTCCGTTTCGAGATTCCGTTTCGGAATTTCGAACGGTCGGCCACACACAAACGGAATCCCGTTTTGCCCGCAAAATATCGAACGGAAAACTACCGTACGTGTGTGGCGGGTCATAGATTTTATATGGACTTGCTGCGTTCGGGATTCCGAATCGGAATATCGAAACGGAATCTCGAAACGGAATTCCGTATGTATGTGGCCGGCCTTAATAAGTATTCTCGTAACCTATATTAAAAAATAATTTTCTATTCAATTCTACCTCGTCTTAGGACAGAACTAGATAGGGTAAGGATAGAGATACCATATATCAGGATTTATTCTGACATGTCGGGACTTTTAGGTGCTTATCAGAATCGCGATCGGATTTTGAAAATGTCATGATGTTTTTTTACATGGGAGGGGGTCACAGAATCCGTGACGTGGATTGATCACGAGAGTGCACAAATCCAGTAACAGATTTATTAAATTGTGCACGCTTGTTATTGTAACCATCATTTTTTGACTGAATTGCAAATGATGGCACTTAAATTAATCAACTGGTCATTAAAAGAAAGGGGAATGAAAGTGAACGCAAGTAAGACGAAAGTGATGGTTTTTGGAAGAGAAGAAAGTAAAACGTTATGTGAAATAAGAATAGAAGGGGAGCTGATTGAGGAAGTGGATGAGTTTGTGTATTTGGGATGTATGTTTAGCAGGGATGGTAGATATGAAAAGGATATAGAACAGAAACGAGAGTACGCTGGAAATAGGATGAAAGGGGCTCTACACCCTATTATGAAAAGTGAAAATGTGTCAAAAAAGGCACGTATGGCAATTCATAATGCTGTGTTAGTCCCTACTTTACTGTATGATAGTGAGAGTTGGGTGTGGCAGAAGAAGCACGAGAGTAGAATAAATGCTGTAGAAATGCGGTCATTAAGGAGTATGCTAGGGCTGAATCTGAATTACAGGATGAGAAATTGTATGATAAGAGAAAAATGTGGTTTGCAAGATGACGTTGTGACCAGGATTAATAAAGGAATGCTTCGGTGGTTTGGTCATGTAGAAAGAATGAACGAGGAAAGAGTGACAAAGTATATTTATATTGCACATGTGAACGGCAGAGTAGGGAAGGGTTGCCTTAGACGAAGGTGTATCGACCAAATTGGCGGTATATTGAAAATGGGCCAGATAAGGAGTACCCTTAATCGACAAACGTGAATGCGTAGATATATGAATGTAAAGGAAGCGAGAGAGTGTCAGCATCGTGTCAAATTAAAGTCTGTAGTCTCTGCCCACCCCTCGCGTTACAGGCGTGAATGTTTATGTTATATGTTTTTTATGCTTGTTATTGTTAATTATTACGTTTGTAACAAAACGTCAGAATTTTTCTATGGAAATCATGTTATTTGTCGGGTCTTTTAAATTTTCCATCTGGTAACCCCCTAGGTGAGAGAGGTTCTTTTTATTTACAAATATTAAAATAAATACACTATAAAACGATTTACGCAGTTAACATTGGCCGAATTTTAAAACACTTCAAAGGTCAAACCCATGCCTAAATCGATTAAATTGGTTTCCTTTGTTGTGTAAGGCAAGCCCGTTTAATCAATGAGCCTCATTAAAAAGTCGCGTCGCATCCAACTCGCCGCCTCAATTAATCATCAAGTTGTGTCTGGCGCTGCGTTCAATGCTTTGTTTCGAATTGAAACTTTTTGTTTGCATGAATCATACGCGATTGCAACGGCGCGGATAGCAAAGCACTTGTGCAATCCCTTCGGACAAAGCGCTTGCTTTTATTTTAAAATACAATGATTAAACTTTTTTTATAAAAGTGTAAACCGACTTCAAAGAATTAATATGGACAAAATAAATTCCAAATAATTTAAAAGCTTCCTTTCTAATGAACCATTTTGACAGGGGATGGTTGTATGATGATGAAGCTTAGTATCGCTTAGCAAGCTATGGAGAGTACCTACTCGTAGTAAGAACTACCTGATAGAATTGTGCAAGTATATACAATACAGTAGAATAATATTAATAATCCGGATAGAATTTCGGTCACGTTGGCCAGCCTTAAAGGAGACTGGCCATCTGCGCAAGACTGTATTATAGTGCACGAGTGTATGCACAAGCACAGGGTGCACTCTCTATTTCCTCACTCTCATAGTCTGATGGGACGGCAAGCCGACACGACCGGAGGGAGATCATGCGCAGGGCCGGCTTTACGTGCTTTCCGTGGCACGAGAGTGAAACACCGCTAATTTCCTGACTCGGAGTTCCTACTGAGAATTTCTTGACAGGCGCGTTACGACCACAAGACAAACGGGGCATTAGAACCAGGGTAACCAACATAGTTAATCAGTAAGCTGAAGTGGCAATCATCATCATCATCATTACAGCCCTTCACAAGTCCACTGCTGAACATAGGCCTCCCCCAAAGAATGCCACAAAGCACGGTCCTGAGCCACCTGCATCCATCGACTTCCTGAATATCTTACCAGGTCGTCACTCCGTCTAGTGGGGGGACGCCCTACACTTCACCTGCCGGTAAGAGGCTGCCACTCGAGAACCTTTCTTCCCCATCGGTTGTCGGTTCTTCGAGCTATATGGCTGGCCCATTGCCACTTCAGCTTACTAATCCGTTGGGCTATGTACGTCACTCTGGTTCTACTGCGGATATCCTCATTTCTGAGTTTATCACGCAGAGAAACTCCGAGCATAGCCCTCTCCATAGCTCGCTGAGCGACCTCGAGCTTCCTCATCCGGCCAGCAGTGAAGGACCACGTCTCAGTTCCGTATGTCATCACTGGCAACACGCACTGGGTGTACAGTCTCGTTTTCAAGTTTTGAGGTATACCTGACGAGAAGATGTGCCGTAATTTCCCGAACGCTGCCCAACCGAGTTGAATCCGTCGATTGACCTCTCGGTCGAAGTTGGACTTACTTAGTCGGACTATTTGTCCCAGGTAAACATACTCGTCAACAACTTCGAGCTTAGTGTTCCCAACAACTACCGGCATAGGTGTGACATGGACATTAAACATGATCTTTGTTTTGTCCATGTTCATCTTAAGACCTATCCGTTGGGAAACACTATTGAAGTCATTGAGCATAGTGCTTAGTTCCTCCAGCGATTCTGCCATAAGGACTATATCGTCGGCAAATCGAAGGTGAGTGATGTACTCGCCATTGATGTTGATATCGTATCCTTTCCAGTCCAGAAGCTTGAAAACATCTTCCAATGCAGCGGTAAAGAGTTTCGGGGATATGACGTCACCCTGTCTTACACCTCTCTGCAATTGGATAGGTTTCGTACTCTGGTGCTGTACTCGGATAGCCATCGTAGCCCTACTGTACAAGCACTTCAACACTTCGATATACCGACAGTCAACTTGGCATCGCTGAAGGGACTCCAGCACCGCCCAAATTTCGACGGAATCAAAGGCTTTCTCATAGTCCACATACGCCAGACATAGTGGCAAATTGTACTCCTCGGACTTCTGTACAATTTGCCGAAGGGTATGTATGTGGTCTATGGTGCTAAAGCCTTTTCGGAAACCGGCTTGTTCGGGAGGCTGGAAGTCGTCAAGTTTGCGCGCAAGACGATTCGTAATGACTCTCGAAAACAGCACGTAGACGCGGCTCAGAAGGGAAATCGGTCTGTAGTTCTTCAAGAGAGCATTGTCGCCTTTCTTGAAGAACAAGACCACCGCACTTCTGCTCCACGCCTCCGGTGTAATGCCACCATGGAGGACGGAATTAAAGAGCTTCTGAAGGACTTCAAGTACCGGTTTTCCACCCGCATTCAGAAGCTCCGCTGTAATTCAATCCTCGCCTGGGGCCTTGCCGTTTTTAAGGTGCTGGAGAGCCATTCTAATCTCGCTCAGACTGACGTCCGGGATATCATCGGAATAATGTCGGATAAGACTCGCTCTTGGATCGTTACTCACACTTGCGTGCGGCTCCAACGATGACGTGTACAGCTGCCCATAGAACCTCTCAATCTCACTCAAAATCTCAGGTGCCCCGGAAACGATGCTACCATATTCGGTCTTCAGCTTTGACAGTTGGCTCTTTCTGGCAGACAGATCTCTGGCAAAGACTTTGGAGCCTTGGTTCCGCTCGATCGCTTCTTCAATACGAGCTGTATTGAAGTTACGTAAGTCCCGCCGCATGCATTTGGAGATCTGTCTGTTCAGTTGCCTGTATGCTGTCAAATCTGTTGAAGAATGTAGCTTCATCTCCTGTCTAACAGCCATGAGATTAAGAGTGTGATCGGAGAGTTTTTGTGTTCTTCTGCGGCGGGTCTTGCAGAACTTAGCTCCGACCGCATGGACAGTTTCCACGAGCTTGTCATACAAATCGTCCACTTCATTGCAGCCTTCTAGGCACTGAAAACGGTTTTGTAACTCGAGCTGAAAGCTTTCGGGACTTTGGATTAGAGCACGAGGGGGACGGAGCGTTGACTTCATTAGACGAGACCTCTCCAACTTAACGTTTAGGTTCAGTGTGCCTCTAACCATTCGGTGATCGCTGCCGGTTTTCACCCTCGCGATCACTGAGACATCACTGAACAGTTGTCGTCTGATCAATCTCATTTTTTGTCGAACCGTCGGGGCTCGACCAGGTCCACTTCCTGTGGGACCGCTTCTGGAAGAAAGAGTTCATCATAAAGAGTCCCTCTTTCTCCATGAAGTCGGCCAGCTGCTGGCCCCTTGGGTTCCGTTGCCCTATTCCAAATTTCCCCATTTTCAGCTCACCGTTCTCTCTTGTGCCTAGTTTTGCATTGAAGTCTCCCATTAACACCGTATACTGGGTTTTGGAGGAATGCATGGCTCTAGAGATATCCTCATACATTTCCTCCACCTCCTGATCGGGGTGTGCCGAGGTTGGTGCGTAAACCTGTATGACCTTCAGCGAATACCGTTTGGTGATTCTGAGTATAAGGTACGCAACCCTCGTCGACACACTCTCAATCTTTACAACGTTGTAACGAGAGACTTGTGGACGATAAATCCGACACCTCCTTGGGACAGATAGTCGCCCTCCCGGCAATAGAGCAAGTTGCCGGATTCGAGGATTACCGTGTCCTCCTCCTCTCTTCGGACTTCGGATAATCCTATAATATGCCAGAATAACTTGTCTATCTCTTCTTCCAGCTCCACAATCTTCTCGTCAGTCCTCAGGGTGCGTGCGTTGTATGTTGCCAGGTAGAGTCGTCGTAGGTGGCAACCGAACCTCCACCGAAGATTCTTAGCACCCCCTGCCCCGCCGTTACCATGGAAGTGGCAATAGGCCGACTATATTAGCTCGAAGAACCAGTAAGCAATATGGAGTACATGGAGTGACTACCTGGTTAGAAAGGCAGGATGCAGGTGGCTCGGGGAGTTTGTGGCATCACTTGAGAGTTCAGTAGTGGAAGGATTGCCTTTTGATTGGCTAATCTAAATTAAAGCTAAAATAAATAATAAATAAATGGGAAAATCATCATCAATAATTAGATTGATGATGATTTTCCAGAGGTAGGTCTGTGGCGGGTGGAAGGAAAATGGGAGATCTCCTGCCAGGTAAGGGGTTCTGCCCGGGAGCGGCCAACACTCCGCGTAGTAGTTTGGAGCTATTCTATATATACTGCTTTAACTTCAGAACTTTGTTAGCGCGATTTAAGCTTTGATGTGTTTTGCTTGTGGCGCGACGACAGCGCCGCCACATCTCCCCGGTCGAGGCGACCTATTCACGCTAAAGCCTCAGACCAACAAAGAAACTTAGACGGAGCCCTGTGTACATTTCAAGTGATGCCAAAACCATGCTCAGCTTCTTAACGCACTCACGCACATCCTCGTTTTTTCTTTCTTTATCAGTCCTATTTTAGAATTTTAGATATGCATATCTGTACATGAATTCGTGTCCTTGTAATAAGTTGGACATGTTTTTTGTAACCGTGTAGTGGCGGTGTAAGAATATCCACTACTCCATATCGTCCCGTGGGTGTCGTAAGAGGCAACAGAAGGAAACTGAAACAGGAGATGTCCATCTCCTGTTTCGGTTTCCTTCTGACCTTCATATTCCTTACAAATCAAAATTATAAAAAAAACTGCAGTTGCCAACCCGCCTGCCAAGTGTGGCAACTGTGGCGAAATATTCTCCATAAAGCAATCTCGGAGATGGGTGGTTTTATTGAGAACGAGGCGTGGCATGTTACTAGGGGAACAGCTCGCCGGAGGGTGGCGGCGGTGTACTCACGTGCAGCTCGGCCTTGCAGTGCGCGATCGTGTGTCTCGCTCCCACGCGCAGGTCTCTGTCGCGCACGCCGCAGGAACAGTTACTAGGGGAACAGCTCGCCGGAGGGTGGCGGCGGTGTACTCACGTGCAGCTCGGCCTTGCAGTGCGCGATCGTGTCTCGCTCCCACGCGCAGGTCTCTCTGTCGCGCGCGCCGCAGGAACAGTTACTAGGGGAACAGCTCGCCGGAGGGTGGCGGCGGTGTACTCACGTGCAGCTCGGCCTTGCAGTGCGCGATCGTGTGTCTCGCTCCCACGCGCAGGTCTCTCTGTCGCGCGCGCCGCAGGAACAGTTACTAGGGGAACAGCTCGCCGGAGGGTGGCGGCGGTGTACTCACGTGCAGCTCGGCCTTGCAGTGCGCGATCGTGTGTCTCGCTCCCACGCGCAGGTCTCTCTGTCGCGCGCGCCGCAGGAACAGTTACTAGGGGAACAGCTCGCCGGAGGGTGGCGGCGGTGTACTCACGTGCAGCTCGGCCTTGCAGTGCGCGATCGTGTGTCTCGCTCCCACGCGCAGGTCTCTGTCGCGCGCGCTGCAAGAGAGGCGCAAGCGTAGAGCCAGCGCGGCGCCACCGTCCGCAGGCTCCGACCACTCGGCCGGCGAATCCCGCCCGCTCGCCTCCTTCACCATGTTCATCGGCGGCGACAGGCAATAGATCGGCACCTGGCCCGCATGAAATTTCACTTAAGACGAATATTTCCTACGTTTCTACCTGGTAGAACCATGTTGCAGCTATATTATGATTGAACGTGCTATACGTTGTATAGATGTGCCACATGCCTATGGGCCAAATCAATCACTTATCACCAGGTGGACTGTATGCTGGTTTGTCACCCTTATCTTTAAAAAATATATGACCGCCTTTTGTTTCTCCCTCAATATTTTCTTTTGTTATATTAATCTTTCCTTGATGTACAATGAAGAGTATTGTGTTGTATTGTACCACGAATACACAGCAGCGCACTTTTTGCATGCTTAAATGTCATGAATGTGGTAAATCCTGAATAACATTGCGTCGCAAGTTCAGATAAAAGAACAGATTACGTAACCTAGCAATAAAATTTATTCATAATTGGGTTACGTACAAGTTTTGAACAAACCGGATCAACTTTGCCATTGCATCTGACAGCGAAAGGTCGCCAAAGGTCGAGCCGAAACTACGAAAACTTGTAGTACGTTCTTCAATCAAAATAAGAAAATCTGTGTCAATGAAACCGACAGCTTTTTCTGCCACCAGGGCGACCCCATTTTGGAATGAGGTGAAATATTTGAAAGATTTTTTTATAGGAGGGGGCAAACGAGCAAACGGTTCACCTGATGGTACGGGACTACCACCGGCCATGAACAACTGCAACATCAGAGGAAGGTGCGTTGCCGACCTTTCAGAAAGGAGTAAGCTTTTTTTTGAAGGTCCCTAATTCGTATCGGTCCGGAAATCTCGCCGGTGGTAAACTATTCCACAGAGAGGTCGTACGCGGAAGAAAACTCCTAGTGAAACGTACAGTGGTGGACCGCCAAGCATCCAGGTGGTGTGGATAGTATCGGGAGTTTTGCCGCGATGTGTGTTCGTGAAATTTGGCTTGGCTTTGATCAATGCGAACAATTCCTCAGAGCACTCCCCGTGGTAGATGCGAAAGAAAATGCAAAGGGATGTAACATTTCTTCGCTGCGCCAGTGAATCGTGCCGATCGGAAAGGACTCGGTCGTCGACGATTCGAGCTGCTCTGCGCTGGATGCGGTCAAGTGGAAAGAGCTGGCACTGAGGAGACTCAGCCCAGAGATGGGAACAGTATTCCATGATAGGCCGAACCTGCGCCTTGTAAAGATGCAGGCTGTGTGCCGGTATGAAATATGCCGGCAAGCTTTTTAGAGGCCAATTTGGCCTTCTCCTTCAAGTGATCACGAAACTGCACGATTCGATATGTCGCCGCCGGGAATTTTTTGCGGTAAACGCGCAAACTTGTGTCTTCTGTGGATTAAACTGGACTATATTTAGTCGCCCCCAATCCGACTTTGTTCAGCGAAGAGTCGACTTCAGACACAAGTTTGTTCTGGTATTCGGCGACGTTTCCCCGAGAAATATTGGCACAGCCGGTGTATAGAGCATCACCAGTGCTGTCAACCGCATAGCGATGTATGTTACCGGTTTGCAACATATCATTGATATGCAGAAGAAGCAGCGTTGGTGATAGCACGCAGCCTTGTGGAACACCAGCATTAATAGGCTAGTAATCGGAGCATGCACCGTCTACAACGACCATGATGCTCCAATCTGCAAGAAAGCTGGTGATCTAATTGCACAATTTCTCGGAACCCATAGGAAGGGAGCTTCGAAAGAAGGGCTTTGTGCCAAACCCGATCGAAGGCCTTCGCAATGTCCAAACTAACGGCCAATACCTCCCCCTTGGACTACACTGCCTCCGCCCATCTATGTATGTATCTTATAGTGCAGAAGATAAATTGTTTGATTAATATAAAGATTCATTTTTGTTGTTTTGTTAATTTTTTAACATACATGATTGTTGAGTCCTGCTGGGTTTCTTGCTGGTTCTTTCCAAGACAGACTTTTTTTTTCTGGACCAGTGGTAATTAAACAAAAGAGTGACTTTCAATAAGTATTTTATTTATAATCTATATTGAATAAAAAAGGATTGTTTTTGTTTGTTTCTAGTTATATTTTGTTTTGACTATATTAGAAATGGATAAATCAAACTATAGATAAACCTTAAAGTAGAATTTAAAAAAAGTTTAAAAAGTGTAAAAATATACAGATCATTTTTTTATAAGATAAAGGTGACAAACGAGCACAATGTGATTGCTGTGGCCTATAGACATCTACATGTATATGAATCAAAATACAGATGTTTTGTCTACAGGGCATATGTAAGGAAGAAACGCCGGTCCACGTATTGCTGACATGTCTGGAGGTCGCTGCATACTGGGCTAAACTTCTCTTTTAATCCCGCACGGAAAAGTGTTTGTATAGCCTACTACACTAAAAAATTATTGTTTCGGGTCTGGATGTTTGTTCTTGTGAAATGTATGTATGCAAACTGCCCAAGGATACAGAAGAAAATTCTAGAGTGGAGGTGATGTTTGTAAAAAAAAATTAAAATATATTATCCCATGGTTGTTGTAAGAAACGACAGTGGGAAATTGAAACCGGGAGATGTCCAGAATCTTCCTCACAACAACTCGAATAATAAAAAGCTGTCTCCCTTATAAGGCAATATATGAGTAGGCCTATGTCCAACAGTTGACTTTGATGGGCTGTAATAAATCCATCACATCTGAAATTAACAGCATTCCCAGTCAGTTTCTATGAAAAGTTTTCCTGGACATGATGGAGAACAGAGGAACAAGGTTATTTTTCCGAAGCTGTAAATTTTAAACTTCTTCTAAAATATTATAAGCATTAATTTACTATGAAATATAATTTTGTCGTAATTTTTTAATCCTTCAAAAAATTATTTTCCTAAGTGGAGAGCTAAGAAATTGTTTATAGCTATTTCATGTGCTTATTTACCATGTGCTCGTCTATGAAGGAAAACATTGTAAGGAAACCAGATCTTCTTGATAAAAGCTGAATAAAAAAAAAATTAAAAATTGTGCTTGTCAATCGTGGCAACTATGGCAAATATCCACCTCTATGAAGCAATCAATATGGAAGGGCTTTGTGACAAAGTAAAGCCTTTCCTAACAGAAGCTGTAACGGAAGTAGACTTATGAAAATGCTTGAAACATCATTTAGTTTATAATATATATATAATATATATTATATTATGATCATATATTTTACGGGGTGGTGGGAATGTTCTGATCTTCCTGAAATGATAAATTCTTGCTGATGCTGATGATAATGTTGATGATGAATGATAATTAACAATTATATGTTCCTATTTAAAAAAAATACATGCATGAAAGGCAACAATAGTTTAGAAAGGGGAAATGGACATGAATCACCACAATGGCATGGTGTACTATATTGCAGGCATGCACACAAATTGGTGACTCACACTAAAGCTTGTTATAATTGAAACATTTCAAGCAACCACAAGAGAGATACAACAAATGGACGAGCCTATCTATTCTATTTCCATTTGACAACAGGAAGCTGTCTTATGCCATAATAATATATGCAGTGTGGTAGGAAAGCCCCATATCAATGGAGTTTTGTTGTAGATGTTTTAAATGTAAATTAGCAAAATATTTAAACACATCAATAAATCAAAATTGAAATTATACAAACAGGAAGGAAATACACAAAAATAAAGGTTAATTGTCAACTTTTAACAATACTTAGATATATCATTCCATTCTCTTACAGCCTATAAAAGTCCACTGCTAAACATAGGCCATAGATTGCCCCCATAGATTGCCTTCTAAAAGGGAATTTTGCCAAAGTTGCCAGGCTTGGCAGGCGGGTTGACAAACAAAGTTTTATTTTTTTTATTTTAAGTTGTTATCACCCATTTCAATTTTCCTTTGTCTTACGACACCCATGGGACAATTTGGAATAGTAAACTTTGTTACACCACATCATCTACAAGGTATCTAGATATTAACTAGTAGTTAGATATTAGACACAACAAATTTGGGAGTATGTAATTACATGCCATGTGGTTGTTAAAGTTGAGTAAAAAATATGTCAGAAAGATATTGTAGCTTTCAACAGATGGTGGTGGCAGGGAGAAGCATAAAGATGCAAGACATCTTTGTGCAGTGATCATCTTTGTATGGCACATCCACCCTACAGAAGAGGTCCATTTTCAGCAGTGGTCGCTTACAGGCTTATTATAAAGAAGAAAGTGATTATTGCAATAATTGACAGGCATTGGCTATAGCAATACTAGTGATTCCATAAATTATACTTGATTTTGCTGGTAGACAAAAACTATTTAAGGTACATCATATACATCTAAAGTTTATATAACATACATAGTCCAAGAAAGGATTAATAATTACTTTATTTTAATAATACTTTCATCAAGTACCATTTAATAGATAAACAACATATAGTAGTAATCAATACTGAGGTATAATTTATAATTTTGAAAGAAATAGTATTTAATTGAAGATTTTTCAATAAATAAAATTGCTGTTGATTTCATAAGGATTTGTTTTTGACAAACATCTTACCTGGTATCTTGTTCCCCACTCATCATAGCATTCCGTGAGGTAGCCATTTGGCACAGATACACTAGCTCCGTCGAGTATAGCCTGAGCTAGCTGAAAGTCCATAGCCTCAGCTGCCACCGCCGCTGCACGTAATGCATCCCAGATCTCCTTCCTACCCTCAAACGCCGGTGCCGTATCCCAGAATTCATCTCTTTTACTCCGCAGCTGGCCCTCGGTTAAAGGCACATCTGATTTCCATCTGATAGTTTCATGGCATAGGGATTGATTTTTTCTCAGCGCACCTAAAACAAAAGCAAATTTAGTTCACAGAAGAGTATCCACGGCGACAATCAGACATTCACATACCGGAATTAGGCCGTGACACAGTTCCCGATGATTCTTCAATAGGTCCACTTCTGCTTCTAGTAATTCCAATGCAACCACCCATTGTGATCACATTCTATGATCACACAATTAACAAATTTTTACAAAAAAAATATTAACAAATAACATTTTCATCGCCTGTCCATTACTGTCAAAAGCAAAGGCAAAGTTAGCTGTACATGTTTTGACGTTGCTTTGAATGTATACAAAATCTCGTATATCTTTTATAATCTTTAATACTATGGAACAAAAACATAGTAATGTTTTACAGTATTAATAAAAAAGGTGTACTATATTCCATTCCGTTATCATCAATGTAAATATTATATTCTTTGATGTAGTATATTTAGTTTTCCGAGTAGTTAACATTTACAGCATTTTGATAACACAAAACGCTACATAATAGGCGTATAAAGCTGGCTTTTCACTATGGGATATAATATATATTATATCCCGGAATATAAATTATATCCCGCGATTGGCTTTCACACTGTGAGATATATCTTTTAACCAGTGTGCGTTCGTCACTGGTCATTGGATTACCCCCCTTTACCCTGTACACCGTTCTACGCGGGCGAGGAACGGTGTGCGGGGTACGGGGGCGAAATATAATATAAAAATATCGCTCGATCGATCGAAAAAATATTTATAGCTTAAGATGTAATTATTTATTATAGCTCAGTGTAAACGGTTCCATATGAAATGTATGGTGAGCGATATTAATTTATATCTCGAGATGTAATATATATTATATTATATCCCATAGTGAAAAGCGGGCTTTATTCTTGCTGCATATTTATTTATCTATGGTAATATTCGTAGATAGATAAGATACTAAATCTATGGTATTATTGGAATTTTTTTATAGGAGTTAGGGCAAACGAGCATGCGGCTCACCTGATGGTAAGTTACTACCGCCGCTCATGAACAACCGCAACACCAGGGGGACCAGGAGAATTGCAGATGCGTTGCCGGCCTTTTAAAAAAGAGTAGGCTCTTTTCTTGAAGGTCCCTAAGTCGTATCGGTCCGGAAAAATCGCTGGTGGTAAACCATTCCACAAGGAAGTTGTGCGAGGAAGAAAACATCTTTTAAATCACACTGTGGTGGACCGCCAATCATCCAGATGGTGTCGATGGTATCGGGAGTTCTGCCGCGATGTGCGTTCGAGAAATTTGGCGGCTGGGATTAATCCGAACAATTCAGTAATATGCGCGGTGTTTTTTTCATCAATACATATACATACATATAATCACGCCTCTTTCCCGTAGGGGTAGGCAGAGACCAGTTCTTTCCACTTGCTACGATCCTTACATACTTGTTTTGCTTCGTCCACTTTCATTATTCCCTTCATACATGCTCTACGGTTTAGGGTACTCTTGACCTGGCCTTTTTTCAAGCCGTCCCTGATTTGGTCTAGAAATGTCCGCCTAGGTCTACCCCTTCCAACACTTTCATTCACACTCGCCTTATACACTTTTTTCGTCAATCGTTCTTCATTCATTCTCTCGACATGGCCAAACCATCTCAGCTTTTTTTCATCAAATTCTGTATTAATCTCGCAAACACAGTATTTTAATGTGGACTACAGAATATTCTCGAAAATCTGATCTGGCAGAAGCAGACTGCTCTAATCTCTCTGCGTCAATCAATGCTCTGCTCTATGTCATGTCCACAGAATACATTTACTCTTTGCTCAAAAGAGATAGAACCCAGAGCTGTAAAGCCAACTTAAAAAAATACCTTTACTCTTTGGTCATGTCATTGTCATTCGTCAGTGTCACTGTCACTGTCACATCACAAGTTTTTTGTTTCATAGAGTAATTACAAATTACTAATTAGTAAATACATGGTAATTACCTAATTAATTTATGCAGGAATTGTGATGTCATCAGAATTAGCACTAAATACTACAATAGCCTTCAGCAGTTCAACATCACCAGTCCGCTACATTAAAGAATCCTCCATCTAGGAATAAAACCTTTCTATACCTCAAATTTGATTAATTCAGATAACTATATTTCAATTTTTTTTTAATATTAAATAATATACCAATATTAATAAACCACCATAATCTTCATACTATAAAGTTTTTATAGCAATATTAATAAACCACCATAATCTTCATAGTGTAGTTTTTATTAAGACAAATAATTATAAGTTTGTCATCTAAAGGAAACATTAACATTGGTAAAGAATGGAGACTAATAGAAACTTTAATTCAATGCAAGATTATGCAGTAACCAACGTAAGGATTAAAGAAAGCTTTCTAAAATGTTGTGCTCTATAACTTGCGATTGTGATTTATGAAATATAATGGTTTATTCATTGTTTTAGGTGGAACCAACAGCATTCTACTTATCAGAGTTTTTATCAGTCAAAGAGGAACAGTGCATCTTATCGAATATTTACTCAGCACCTAAACCTAAGTGGACACAGCTATCAAACAGGAGGCTTCAGAACTGGGGAGGAATTCCACACAATAAAGGCATGATTGCTGAAACTATACCACATTGGCTCCAGAATTATTTAGATAAAATAAACAATTTAAACTTAATGGGAGGAAATAAACCAAATCATGTACTAGTTAATGAGTATACACCCGGACAGGGCATTTTGCCTCATTTAGATGGCTCTTTATTTTATCCAACTATAACTACAATATCTGTAGGATCTCATATTGTGCTGAAATTTTGGGAACCACCACTTAATGCCAATGAAAATGCTTTAGAACTGAAACCTGTTTTTTCCTTTCTCTTGGAACCGAGAAGCCTATTGGTGTTACAAAATAAATTATTTCATCACTATTTACATAGTATAGAGGAAATAAAAGAGGATGTTATTGATGATTCAATATCCAATTTACACATGTGTTCAGATCAATATAAGAAGGGGTCCACCGTTGTCCGTGGAACTAGAGTGTCTCTAACTATAAGGCATGTGCCTAAAACTACTGCATTTAAAATTAATATTGGCAGTAAAAGATAATATTGCAAAATAATCTTTCTTTTTAACCTCTTTTTTATTGTTTTGCTACATGTCGAAGGTATCTATTGTGTAATGTAATGTCCCTCTAGACCGAATTTCATTCATAGTGGCGAGACATCAAAGTGTAGGCATCTGTGGAGGACAGGATTATAATGCACGAGTGTGTTCACAAACACCGGTGCTCACACATGGTCTGATGGGACAACAATCCGAAACATCCAGAAAGAACTCAAGTATTAGACTGATATTAGGCTTTATGTGTTTCCTGAATCCAGGTTACCATTAAGACCTCATGATCAGTAGTCGTGCTAACAACCAACAACGCAACCTATTTGTGTAATCAGGATATAAACCTATCACTTCGTAATCACTGGGGCAGGGTGCTTACCAATAATTTTACTGTAAGCTTTTTCATCACCCTGTAAAAGTCCATACTGTACGTATGCCTCTACCTTTTGTAAGGAACATGTGCTTTTAATGTCATATGTAATAGGTGGATTGGCAATTATAGTACCAGACGTCTTCAATAAATAATTTTTTTTATAAAATTGAAGTGACAAAAATAACTTTTGGTGCACCTGATGGTGGCTACAGCAGCCCATAGACACCTGCAATCAACTTCAAATGAAGGCTACAGATGCAATGTCACCTCACATGACTGAAATGGAATACATAACAGCCTGTAATTATATTGACTCTATACGCTCCAGTTCAGAACACAGCAGGTCGCACTGCCATTTGGTTGCAGAAATAGTTAAGAGGGGGTACCTACCCAGAAGAACTAGTCAGAAAAGGAATACTACCACCAGTATTTTACATCTGATAAAATAGATAGAAATAGATTATACCGCCATCTGTCGAAAGTCATGTGTTAGAAACTACTCTAAGGCCGGCCACATACCAGGCGGTCCCATAATGAACTGGCCTGATATAGTTCAACGCGACATGTCGCTACATGTTGTGTTGCATTAAATAGTACGTTTATCGTGCACTTAATATAAGAAACATGCATTGACATGAAATGCTTAGTCTTAGTTTAACAGGCATTTGAATAACGAGAGTCGCGTATTTTTTCAAAATGTCGAAAACTGAGTATCGAAGTGTCATAAAGTTTCTGTTTAAAGAAGGTTTATCCCCTGCCCAAATAAAAGAACGATTGGATGGCGTGTATAAGGAGTCTGCCCCCTCCTATAGCACAGTGAAAAATTGGGTGAAAGAGTTTCGCCTCGGGAGAGAAACCGTCGAAGACTTTGGCCACGACGGTCGACCTGTGGAAGTGCTCACTCCTGAAACGATTGCTCTTATCGAAGAGGAGGTTCTGAGTGACCGCCGTTTGAAGATTAGAGAAATTGCAGCAAGGCTTGTTCTCTCTAAGAGTACCGTTCATAGCGCGATCCATGAACATCTTCACATGAAAAAAGTGAGTGCAAGATGGGTACCGAAACTTCTTTCAGCGGTACAGAGACAGGAAAGAGTGCGCTGCGCTTCGGAGTTTTTGGATCTTTGTGGCGAAAATCCAAAGACTGTGATCGAGCGGCTAGTGACTGGTGATGAAACTATGATCTTGTATTATGATCCACAAAGCAAGCGCGAGTCAATGGAATGGCGTTATAAAGGTGAAAAGCCCCCTAGAAAGGCAAAGGTGCAACAATCGACTAAAAAACTGATGTGCACAATATTTTGGGATTTTCAAGGCATTTTGATGGTGGATTTTAAAGAACTTAATACAGTCGTGAACGGCGAATATTATGCTTCTTTAATATATAAATTACGAGACAAGATAAAGGAAAAACGAAGAGGCAAGCTGTCTAAAGGTGTCCTGTTGCTCCATGACAACGCCCCTGTTCATACCGCTGGTGTTTCGAAGGATGCAGTTCGTCAATGCGGGTTCACAGAAGTTCAACATCCACCTTACAGTCCAGACATGGCCCCGTCCGACTATTATTTATTTCCAAATTTAAAGCGGGACTTAAGAGGAAGAAAATTTTCAAGCGATGAAGAGTTGCAGGCGGCCGTCTTCAGTCATTTTGAGGATAAAAAATGTGATTATTTTTATAAAGGTTTAGAGATGTTGATTCACAGATGTCAGAAGTGTGTTAGTATTCATGGTGATTATATTGAAAAATAAAATTGGTTTCGTTTCATTTCCTTCATTGGTTCATAGTTAGGCCAATTCATTATGGGACCGCCTACGTACATACGGAATTCCGTTTCGAGATTCCGTTTCGATATTCCGATTCGGAATCCCGAACGCAGCAAGTCCATATAAAATCTATGACCCGCCACACACGTACGGTACTTTTCCGTTCGATATTTTGCGGGCAAAACGGGATTCCGTTTGTGTGTGGCCGACCGTTCGGAATTCCGTATGTATCTGGCGGGCTTAAACTATTTAAATAAATGAACACACACTACGTTATATATAAATATTTGTATTATTATTTTCAATATTTTTTTGCAATATTTTCATAATTGTGGATGAAAGAATGAGGCGCGCAGTGATAAAGGGATTACTGGGGGTCCGACGTAGGGACAGATCATTACTTGGGCCAAATTAATGGCCTATTCAGAGTTCAGACGTTGGCGGCATCTGACACTGACATCTGTGTCTACCACTGCGTTATAGAGTATAAGAATAGAGAGGTTACAAGATGAATGTGTGAAAAAGAAGTACAAATGTAGACTGAGGGAAAATATAAATGTTATGAATTAATTGTGTATGAATGATTTAGACTTGGAGACTGTGTGAGACAATGTTAAGAAAGGTTTGGTGGACGCAACTACCAAAGTATGTGGTGTAAGTTAGAGAACGAATTAAAGGAAAAATAATAAATTATGGTATGACGATGAGGTACGGATGGAAGTTGAAACAAAAAGAGAGTATGGCTAGATTTACTAGTAACCAAAGCTGGTAATTTTGGCTGTATGAATGATGTGATTGAAAGAAAAAAGGCAGACTTTAGTCGTCTAAATAAGAGAGTAAAAGAAGTAGTTGAAAGAAAAAAAGGAGAAAGAATGGATTAGAATGATATAAGGATGTCGGATAACTTCCAGGCAAATATTAAAATGTTGTGAAACTCGTAAGAACTGCCACGGGACAAAACAGCCTACAATGAATATTATTCGAGAAAAGAATGGCTGTATGCTGAATGACGAAGTTTAAAGAGAGATGGAAGGAATACTTTGAAAGCGTGCTTATGAATGAAGAGTCGTCTGAATCAAATGAACTAGAAATTCTGAAATAAGTGGAAAGAGATAGGGAGATAAGTGTAGATGAAATAATGAAAGCAATGAAAAGCATGAAAGCGAGTATGACAACCGGATATGATAGAGTATCACTCGAAACGCTAAGGACTGGAGGCCTACTTTACACCTTGTTTAATTTATGCTGGGAAGCGAGTACCGGATAACTGGTGTAAAACCGTTATAGTCCCAATGTATAAGGGAAAAGGCTAATATCAGCCTTCTTAGCATTGTGGGTGAACTGTATGCATGTAGTTAATTGAAAGAGTTAAATATGAGATGTAGAAGCGAGCGGGATTTAGAAAGGAAATGGGGTGTACTGGTCAAGTCTTCTCCATGCGCATAATCACGGAGAAGTTTTTGCCCAAAAACCAGAAGTTTATTTGTGCGTTCATGGACTTGGAAAAGGCGTATGACAGAGTGGACAGTGTGTTATGGCAAACATTGAACTTATTTGGGTTGAGCACTGGTTTGATACAGGCCTTTTAGGTCTAAAAAAACTTATTTATGGACAGATGCTTGGAAACTTTGAAAATTGAAGAATGTGGGTTAAGAATGGGTGAGTTAACCGTCAAATGCCGGTATATGTTTTTTTTTTAAATCTATGTTAACTATAAATTAAGAGGAGCACTCTGATCACTCTGTATCAATTCGCTGCAGTAAAGTATGTCCTCTTAAAACAGTTACTAAATAAAAAATAGATTGTGTACAAAAAAGCAACTGTGTTGAAATTGATAATACTTACATTCCCGTCAACGTTTTTTTTATAGGAGAGGGGGCAAATGAGCATTCGGCTCACCTGATGGTAAGTGACTACTAGTGTTGCCCAAAATAGATCTTGGTCTTGCAGTCTTGGTCTTGAACTTGCATTTTGCAAGGCCAAGACCAAGACCAAGACCGCCTAATTTTAGCAAGACTAAGACCAAAACTGACCGCGCAAAATTTGAGCAAGAACAAGACTAAGCCTGCGAGACTTGCGTCTTGCAGTTAGAACTGAGTGTCGTTTCAGGGAGTATAACAGTTCGGCTATACGTTTAGGGACTTTAAAAGTGCGCGGCGTCTTGTCGTCGGTATCATCAAAGGTCAGATACTGATCTGTCAAAGAAATTTTGCAGCTATTCGGAAGTACAAGGTCAAGATACACGCTCCGGTGGCTTCTATTGATAGTCGCCGCCGCGCCGCACGCTTAACATTTGACACTGTTTGATTGCCGCCACAGAGTACATGTTCCAAAGAATAAAATAAGTTTCCGGGTGCTCAGAATGGACACGAATACATTATGCTGATCTCGCAAGGAATATTGTAATTAGATAATGGTAAGGATACCGTGGTAATGCATTATTTTAACTGATTTACTGCGCACGCACACATGGGGTCGATCTGTAGGCAAAAACGTCGTTGCCCATAAATCACATTCAATTTGGGATAATTTTAACTAGTTTAGAAAATCCAGTGCACGCCTCATGACCGTTTCATTTAATTTTGATGAAAAAAATAAATTACCAAAATAAATCGCTTACACAAAATATAAAATCGGTGTAGGCTGTATCGTACATTTGTCTTCTGTCCATCTAGGGCTAAAAAAATATGAAAGCGCCTCTAAATTTTTAATAGCAATAAAATTTATAAAAGTTAAATATTATTTTATTATAGGCTATTGATATGAAATAGGAAATCAGTTGATGTAATACTGGAGCTAATAAAAAAACCCGGTCTCGATATGTCAATTTTTGCGGGAGTTATCGTGACCACATACAAAATCAACTTTCGGACGTCCACGTAAATTTTTTTAAGGCGTTTTTTTTCCAAAGCAACAATATAAAATGATTTTTACTAAATATAAGATGTATTAATTTTCTTGATATACAGCTACTCATATTATTATATAAGTGCAACATGGTAATGATAGAGGCATTTTAAGAACACAAAATTGCTGAACTTTGACGTGTCGAGAGTAAAGTACTACCTAATAACGATTCCGTAATGAGGCGTGCAATAAAATAAGTCTTATTTACTCGTATTTTCAAAAACTGCGTTAACGGTATATCATGATTTATATATTTTTTTTTATAGGATAGGGTGACAAACGAGTATACAGTCCACCTGATGGTAAGTGGTTGCTGTGGCCCATAGACATCTACATTTATCCTCGTTTGCGAATCAAAATGCAGATGCGTTGTCACCCGTGAGGACTAAGATAGAATGCCTCTTTTCCAGTAAAAAGGGCCTCCGGTTCTCTACACTCACCATACGAAACACAGCAGCATGAAGCTGCTATTTGACGCTGGTATTCTGTGAGAGCGTTGTCCTTCCTCGGTTGAGCCGACCCATTCGTGCTAAAACTATACTACTAATATAGCTGCAGCATGGCTCTACCACGTAAAAATATATATTAATATATATTTAAACTAAAGTTTAAAATTTGGCTACTCATTGAAAAATAACGCTGTATAATAAATCAAATATAATTTCTTAAAAACTAAATTACCAAGTTAATTACTAAATAGAACTTTGCGAGCTTTTATCAACGAAAAGTCGATGATTTCGTTGAAGTCTAGCTTCCGGATTAAATCACTTTCAATTCTAAATAGGGTTAGTTTCGATAGTCGGTTTTGTCCCATCGTCGTTCGAAGCCGATTCTTTACAATATTAATTTTTGAAAACGAGCGCTCTCCAGTGCAATTCGAGACCATCAAAACCATGTACATTCTTAGTGTAATTTCAATATTCGGGAAGGTAGTTCTGAAGTTTTGATTTTAAAGAATGCGATATAAAAACAGTTCATTAGATTGGTCTTTTTCATAGTCTTTTTTGTTTAATTTTATCAAAGATACTAATTGAACCAACTTATTACCAAGGCTAGGTTCTAATCTAATTAATGGAAACTTGCAATCAGGGCTTTCTGATATATCGATGTTTTACGGATTGAAGTGAACAAATATGGATATATTGTTTTTGATATTCAAGAACAATATTATAATGTTTGTGCAAGTATTATCGGTAAAAATGCGAAAAATGACTCTTTCGAAAAAAAAAAACAACGTAAAAAATTGCTGACCCGTCGAAATTTGGATATTTTTTATCTCTATTGTGGGGGCCCCTCTCTTATGGAGGCCCCAGGGCAGTAGCCCCGCGTGCCCTTCCCCAAATCCGGCACTGATTTCACTGTTCCGTGAGTAATATATGAACCTTTTTGGCGGACAGGGAATTTTTAAGGTCGACCTGATTGTGGTTACTGCAGCCTATGGGCTACTGCTGGAACTTCAAATAAAGAAAGTTACAAATGTAGTCATTTCACAGGACCAGAATACTTACCTTCGTTATTATACCGCTCACAATAAACTCGAAAACAGGAGAAAATTCTTATGTGAAACATGTTTTTCTGCTGTATAGTGGAAACGTATAACTTTTTATAGTTTAAAAAAAAAAGGAAAAACATAAAAAAGGTGAACCATGTGATTCTCATCATCTTATGTCCAGATGAGATATGGTAGAGCTACACTGCAGCTATATTATGGTTGTAGCACGAATGGGTCGGCTCGACCGGGGTAGGACCACGCTCTCACAGAATACCAGCGTAAAATAACAGCTCATTGCTATTTACTGGGCTTTGGATGGTGAACATAGAGAACCGAAAACTCTTTTGACTAGAAACGAGGCATTCCATCTTAGTCCTCTGGGGTGACAACGCATCTGCATTTTGATTCTTAATCGAGGATAAACGTATGTAGATACCTAAGTGCCACAGCATCCACTTACCATCAGGTAGACTGTGAGCTGATTTGTCATCCTTATTCTATATAAAAAGATAAGAGCTGTCGCAGATTAATTGCAAAAATTTGCTTAAGTTAAAAGTTAAAGTTATAATTATAGCCCATATACGTTCCACTGCTGGGCACAGGCATCCCCTCATTTCTGAGAGGGTTTTAGGGCAAGAAAGTTTCCGCCGCGCTGTTCCAATGCGTTTTGGCGAACTTCACATGTCTTCGAAACATTTTTTTTCATGCATTTTTACATGCACTTGTTTTGCATTACATGATATGCAGGATTCCTCAAGATGTTTTATTTCACCGCCAAGCACATGGTAAATCAGCGCTTAAAATTGCAATTAACAATTGTTCGCGCCAAACGCTGTTGTCGGAATCGACGTCTAGGGGGCGCGACGCTCGGTGCCATACCGGTTTTGACGTCGCTCGAGCGGTGGGGTTGAGAACGCGTAAAAGCGCAGGGAGTCGTCTATCAGCTGTGCTTGGAACAGCACGTTGTCATTTTTGTCGGGAACTCGGAATAATTAGACGCGGCCAGTAATTATACCGTCTACCATTGTGACGCGCATTCCTGCTGGAGAGCTTCCCAGGGACTTATTGGGTCCGACTCAGAATCTGTATAAGTGCCTTCGACAATATTAGCTAGTGCGGCCTTTGATATTCTAGAGATAACTGTTGCTACGGTAGTGACCTTTCACCTCGGTGTTCGTTTTGTGCGTTAACCTTATAACAAACGAGAGTTAGTGGCTTCAGTAAGTTAATTAATCGTACGATAGAGTTAATGGACTGTCATCGTGACGAACGAGGAAAGTGACTGTGGACCACGCCGCGGAAGGTTCCCTCAATTTGGAGCGGTGTCGTCACCCGGGCTGCTGCCGACGGCCAAGGTCTAGGGTCAATCACCATCAGTCACACCCAGATACACATCACATCACCTTATTTCCCTTGCACTACACAACCACATGCGACCTGACCGACTCCGGAG